AAGAAATGAGAAAATCCAAAAAGAAATTGATTGAATTTTATCATCATAAAACAAAAATTAGACCAATAGAATCGGAACTAAAATGCATGGCGCATATTAATTTTCCGTAACGCTCGTTAATTGGTTCGCTTGTTTTACTTCTTCCATATTCCATTCTTCTTCTTCTCTCTCTCTCTCTCTTCCCTGTCTTTCCTTTGCATGGTTTCTACTCATTTGCCTAGTTATCAACACGTAAATATCTTTCATGGACTGTGGCGCGTCTCGAGGTTTGAACAAGATGAAGAAGCAGGCAGATCAACTAAGTAATAATATATTTCTGATTTACTTAACCCTCTCCCGTATGATGATGATGATGATCATCATCATCATCATCATTCTCAATTAGCTAAGTTAAGGAGAAAAAGTGTTTCTTCACGTCCAAAGGAGAAGAGGGATTAACCCCAACGTTGGAAATCGAAATGACACCGATCGGAAGGAGGAGGAGACGGCGGAAAAGAACAACAATAGTGGCGGGGGGTAGATGATCGTGGCGAGAAAGGAGAGAGGGAAAGATGGCTTGAAGTTTCCTGGATCGCCTAGTTTCAGAGATCAGTATTGTAATAATTTGGACTTTGGCTCGAGATCGAGAGTGAGGAGAAAATTAAATGTTAATGGTGAGTTTGCAAGTTTGCTTGCGTTTTTTTTTAATAAGCCAATTGATTTATAAAACAAATCATGATATCATTTGATTGGTATCATGCATGCATTAACAATATTTAAAATTTGATTTAATGTTATTCTCTGATCATTTGATAAATATTACATAATATTTACATAAATTTTGTAGGTCATGTTGATGAAACAAAGAGGAAAATGAGCATATCACAGGTGGAGGAACCTCGCGATATGGACAAGGCACGTAAAAATAGACATAGAATATTGTTCGGAATAATTATATCTTTCATCAAGTCTCATCATAAATTAGATATATTACGATTTAATATATATGATCTGACTATCCAAACTATGGATTTTTTTTTTCTGCCCTACTTATAGAATTCTCTTAAAAGTTTTGCAGGTGGAGGAATACTAGTTCGAGCCTAAGAGGATGATTTTCTTGCCTTAAAATAAAATAAAAATTAAGGAGATACATAAAAGCAAAAGAATATATATGCATATATGTCGTGTAATAAGACGTGTAATATGATATTTTATTCAAAATACTAAGAAATTTAGATACTATTATTACACATTAGTGTTATGTTGAATAAATATTATGTTACGCCTTACGTTTTTATATGTTACGTGGAAGTACTATGATCATTTTTGAGAGGATTGTGTGTATATATATATATATATATCAAATTGGCATATGTTATATGAAACTTTGTTTGTTCTGATGGCAGGAATGGGCAGTTCAAACATTGGAAAAGGAAAACGGAGTAATGAGAAGAATAACGGGTGCAATAGCAAAGGAGTAGACAAGCGAAAATGTCCCTTTTGAATGCCCCGTGCTACATTTAACCCCAACTATGCCTCCTCGTCTCTTAACAAAAATACCAAATTCCCATTTCAAAACCCCAATGATCATGGTCATGTTGGTCTTGTGCAATATATATCTTGTGATGTGTCATGCTCTTGTAATTCAACCTCGTCTTTTCTAAGAATATGTTGCTAACATTGACAAGACTCGTCTATACAATATATTGCTAGGAATGTTGCAAATAATATGTATATCCATACACTTTCCATAAGTCGATGTCTTAAGCCCCGTTATAATATAAACCAGCATTAGTGAAATCTTTTCAATTCTTTCTTCTTAATTTCCTCTTTGTTCGATGGATCTTACGTTTGGTAGTTTGATTAACACTAAACTATATATGAAACTGAAAAAAAAAAAAAAAAAGAGCTTTAAGATATGAGGAAAAAAAAGGCTGATATTCAAGTGTTTACGGTAGTTGGGTAATGGAAGAATATTAGTATGTTTGACTAAATTATAGTAAGAGATAAGAAAACTGATGATTAGTTTGAGAGAAATAGGCAATGAGCCAAAATTTCCAAAGAAGATACCAATTAACTAACATTGCTTAGATGTCTTAAATCTTAAACTAGTGGGACAAGCCGGCCTTTTTTGAAAATCTATATATATATATATATACACACACATATATATATATATATATATATATATATATTCCCCCTTTTCGTTTCCTGTCTCAATCATTATGCATCATAGTTTCAAACAATACGGAAAAATTAATTAACCCCAAAAAACCCACGCACAAAACAGAATGGTTTGTGTTAATTTCGTGGGTGCCCTTCATAATCATGTTTATCTAAAGAGCATCTATTTAGGCCTCGTTCGTTTCGCTGATTCGAGTTTAGAATTCGAGTTTTGTTACAGTAAAAAACTCTCACAAACAATCACATCTAACTTTTTTGCTACAATAAAAAGCTTTCACATACAATCACATCTCAACTCAAATTCTAAACTTGAATCATCGAAACGAACGAGGCCTTAGTTTTCGCGCTACTCATAAAAAGAAGAGGCGTATAATAAAAGAAAATTTTGTTGTAAGATAAAAAAAAAAAAAAAAAACCATATCATTGTCCAACACTAGATTATAAAATCACATGAGAAATATACGAAAACAAAGAAAAAAAAACTGTAAATTTATAGAATCCAATATAAAAATCTAACCGTTTATAATTATATCATAGCATTAGGACATTCGTTGTGTCTCTTTCCAATGAATTCTTCTACAAAAAAGAGGAAGAAATAAAAGTTGGACAAGATGTAAAGGAAAGCAGCTTGTTGATTTTTTGTTGTGAAGTTTCTATTATATAATAAGAGTATCAATCAATTGGAAGGCTATTGGTCTCAGTTTTAGTTGAGATATTTAAAAGGGGGTTCCCGAAAATTGTCCTGGTCATTAATAAGAAAGTTTATATCAATTCAATATAGTATGCGGCATACGGTATGTGTGTATGTTTGCTCATTCACAATACACTGACTTTTAACACACGCAATTGTGTAATTGTAAGGATATATATATATATATATATATAAATTAATATATATATATATACATATACATTTATATATATATATACACACACACACATGTAATAGTCCGGCCCCATATTATCGGTTAAAATCCTTAATCAATGCTTTGTCATTCAACACGCACCTATAACTAAACAGTTCCATCAAAACCCACACCAAACTCTCATTTTCAGCTTCACCAACTTGTGCTATTTCCTACTTTAACGCAAAGGATATTATTCATCTTCATTTTATGGTTAGGAACCTAACTTGTATTTAGTAGTTAGTAGTTAGTAGTTACCTACAAACAATGAACTCTAACACCTTTTTTTTTTTTTTTGACCTTTCTCTTTCTTTAGTTAAAAATATTTAGAAAATTTCTCTAGTGCGAACATTTTGTTATGGTACAGTTTGCATCTAAAAATCACATTATAAGTTATAACTACAAAAAAACATGCAAATTTTGTTATGGTACAGTTTGCATTTAAAAATCACATTATAAGTTATAAGTAAAAAAACATGCAAATTCAATAGAATCAAATGAAAGTATGATGATTTACAACTATGCAATATTTTGAAAAATATTTTTTCTCCAAACGTACTATTTATTGCTATTGATTGCAATCACTATATAAGTGTTACTACATAAAAACTGTCACATGTTAGTATAAAATATATTATTAATAATAATAAACATGAATGCTCTTAGAAAGAAGGCATAAGAAATCCATTTATTAATCAATAAAAGTCCCATTTATGATTTTGCCCAAGGAAGTGGAGGGGCAAAATGGGGAATCGGTATTTGGACACATGGGTGGAGAATCTGATTCACCCACCGTGGTGGTCAAACTTCAAAGCAAGATAGTTTTTGGGCTCTAAACCGCTTCTTTCCTTGTCAGCATTCACCAATCTCTCACTTTTGACTACATTTCTCTATAAAACTCCAAACTCACGACTCCCAACTCTATCCTCACTTCTTCAAACCACTCTCTTCTCGCCACGTCATACTATCTCACTCCAACGAAACGTCGATTTCCGCCATTTGTCTTCCAAAGGCAGCGGTACGACAAACTCCAAAATCTAGCGCCCATTCTCCGCCGTAGCATTGAACTAACGCCCGTACCTGATTCCTCTTTCTCGCTTTGTCCCTTCACTCAACGAGGGTAGGTAAATTACCAAGACTGTCCTTAGACAAACGTGGCAGTTTCATCTGTGTGTAGCTTTTTTCTTTTCTTTCTTTTTTAATTTTTTTTTTACACATATGCGACTTTTCTTATGTTTTTTTTAATAAATAAAGAAATATCCCATTAGATCTTCGTAATATATTGGTGTCTAACTCGTCATTAATAATTTTTAGGGAGAATGAAGGAAATATATCAATATTTGAGATGAATTAAAATTAATAGGTTAATAATTTACATAAATTAATAAATAGATTAAATTATTATTTTCGTTCATAATTTGTCTGGTTATGAATCATAATTTGACAAGTTATTGTCTATAATTGTCTATAACTTGTCTGGTTATGAACCATAACTTGATAAGTTTGTCCATAACTTATCTGATTATGAGCCATAACTTAACAAGTTATGACCTATTAATTTCTATAACTAAAAATTGACCTATATACTTTTTTAAATTTTTTATATTTGTCTATTTTTTACTATTTTCTTAATTTTTATTCTGCATTTTACTATAATTTTTTAAGAACTTATAACTCACAATTAAACAAAAATATTAATGTAGACTATTTTTTTAATATAATACAATTCTAATTTGATTGATTAATTAAAACTTATTTTTTTGTTGAAATTGGTAAATAAGACTGCATGAGAGAAGAAATTATTACTTTCTACAGTCCCACAAAATTCTTATTTCTTTATTAAAAAAAGTATCTTTTTTTTTTCTTATATGCTTTTATTTTAATTTTTAAAAATTGTGTATAATTTCCTCATTCTTCCCGTTTCATCATTTGATCTCTCTCTCCTCTCTCTCTCATTCTCTTTCTCTCTCTTGGTTGATCTGTTACGAGTCGTTTTGACCGGACAAGCTCAGCAGTTGCAGTTTCTTCTTCTTCTTCTTTTTGTTCATGTTGTTGGTGTTCTTCTTGTGAGTCGTCAATGTCGTCGAAGTTGTGCAATTAATCTCCGCCGTCGGGTCTCGCAGATTCAGTGCACTGCGTCTTTGATTCTTCGCGGTCCTGGGATAATTCCGAACCCGCGATTCGATTCGTCTCCGTAGTTTTCTGGTTCGGTCATTGCGTTAGGGTTTTCAGAAAATGAAGTCTCCGCTGGGTAAGCTTCGGAAATTCTACAAGACCGATTCCAAGGACAAGAGAGACCTCCAATCTTCCGCTCAGTTGGATGAGCTTGCTCAGGCTGCTAAGGTTTTCTTTTTCTTTTCTTTTCTTTTCTTTTTTCTTAAATTTCCATGATTAATTCCATTTCAGTTCCGTTTTAATGCTTATGGAGCTGATGAACTGATGATTAATTATGTTTTAATGCTTAAATCGTTGGGAAAAATCTGTACCGGACAATTAGGGAGCTTTGCCTCAGTTGTTTGATCATGAATATCACTGTGAATTGAGGATTTTTTTTTTTTTTTTGGATGATGAGAATTATGTAGTTGCTTTTTGCTAATTCCTCTTTTTCTTTAGTTTTGTTTATTGCTATTTTGGTGTTTGTGCAACCATTAAGAGGACCGAGTGTTGATAATGGATAAACGTATGGTGTATACTTGCATTCAAACAAGTGTAGTAGTAGTAGTCAAAATAGATAGAATCAATCGATTGAGATTTTAACTGAACATATTTATTTTTGGTTAGAGAATATGCTTGTTCTATCCATGACCCATTAATTAGTCATTAAAATTATAATGTAATTTTCTACCATTCAATTTAAATGGGTTAGTGTTAATGGATAGGCTTCGCTTATCTCTAGGCAAGAAATTGCATACAAGATACAAATTTGTGATTATAATGTAAGGTATTTCCTTAACAGTCTGGTTTTTTTTTGTTTAACTGATGATTTACTCTGTACAATATTTGGATGTGCTCAACATTGTAGGACATGCAAGACATGCGAAATTGCTACGACAGCTTACTTTCTGCTGCTGCTGCTACAGCAAACAGTGCATACGGTATACATTATTCTCTGATTTATACTTTAGTTTATTGTTCACGGTGTAATTTGTAGATAAGGTTCTAGGAGTGTGGACAAAGTAATGCTGATCCACATTATCAGTATCTTTTTACTATTTAAGTCCATGAAGCTAATTGATAACATGATGAAGCTAATGTCATATCTTTCTTGTTCATAGACTCTCCTTTGATTTGAGCTGTACTTGCAGAATTCTCGGAATCACTACGGGAAATGGGAGATTGTTTACTGGAGAAAACTGCATTAAATGATGATGAAGAAAGTGGTAAGTGAATCAATTGGTTTCCTTTTCATTTGTTGGCGTGTTTCACCGGAGAAAACTGCATTACTGCTGAGGGAGGAGAGTGGTAAGTGAATAAAGATACATTGATTTTTCTTGGCGAGACGATGTGACAAGTGATGGCAGTATCTATCTGCTCCTTCATTTTCTTTCTTGGCTAAGAGTCAACATGCAAAAGTTTATCCCTCTCGCTGAATGTTTAGTTGATGTGAGATTAGTATCACTACATAATTTCGCATGTTTGAATGTTGAGCATTCTCAATTAATTTGATAAGATCTATGTTTTATCTGCAGGTAGAGTTTTACTAATGTTGGGGAAAGTACAGTTTGAACTTCAAAAACTTGTTGATAGCTATGTGAGTGCTTGTAATTGTTTTGTTTCAAATAAAACATCCTTTATATATTTTTCAAGTGTAGTGCCTTATGTTCATTTTGGCATTTACTGGCTATTATTTCCACTGCAGCGTGCTCATATATTTCTGACAATTACAAATCCATCAGAGTCTCTTCTCAATGAACTTCGGACGGTTGAGGTATGTTTCATCATTATTGGTGGCTTTTAGTCTTTAGATACTACACTTGGTTGCACCTCCGATTTGTTGGTGCTATGTTTTCTGTTTTCATCGTTTACTTGCCTTCTTATTTTTTATTTTTTGACAAAACACGGGATTGAACCCGCAACCTCCCCTTAAATTCCATCCCACTCCAACCCCCCATTGCCACCAGACCAAGCGGTCTTAGGCTTAAGGTGTTCTTGCTAACATGGTATATCCATTTTCCTGGAAGCTTTGTTTCTAAAAGTAGTTGTGCTACGAATGTTTTTGGAATTTTGTAGGCGCTGACATGCAAAAGTTATCCAACCCTTTTGTATTTCCTAGATATGTTGACTTGGAACAAGTTGCTTTCTAGACATTTATTTGTATTTCTTGGCATGTGTATTTGGCTCAATGTCCTGGTGTTCTTTGGTACAGGAGATGAAGCGACAATGTGATGAAAAAAGGTCTGTTGCTTTCATTCTAACCAGTTTTGTCTTATGCTGGAAAATTGTCTTCTTACTTTTAAGGACTTCTTCAGGACTGTATATGAGTACATGGTGGCACAACAAAAAGAAAAGGGCAAGCCGAAAAGTGGGAAAAATGAAAGTTTCAGTTCACAGCAGCTGCGAGCAGCTCATGATGCATATGACGAGGAGGCAACTTTATGTGTTTTCCGTTTGAAATCTTTAAAGCAGGGGCAGTCCCGGAGTCTTCTCACACAGGCAGCTCGTCATCACGCGGCACAGGTTTTCTTAGATTTTAGAAGTTTGAATTTAATACATTTTCAAGATTTTGTTACTGAATGCATTTTTCATCCTTTCTTGTATTCAGTTGAATTTCTTTCGGAAGGGACTTAAATCACTTGAAGCTGTTGAGCCACATGTGAGATTGGTTACAGAACAGCAGCACATTGAATACCAATTCAGTGGACTTGAAGATAATGATGGAGAAGATGGTGAGGATAACGACGAGAATGGAAATGAGGCTAATGAATGTGGGGAATTAAGTTTTAATAATCAATCACATAAACAGGGGCTAGATGTTATACCAACATCAAGGAATTCAATGGAGGTAAGATTCTAGGTAAAAAGAAAAAAAAAAAAAAAAAAAAAAAAAAAAAAAAAAAAAAAAAAAAAAAGTTTTTTAAAGAAAAAATTAGATGCAAAAATCTTATGAAATTTCTCAAGTTAATACTTTTTATGGATGAAGACTTCTGTGGCTTATTTGATAGATGGATGAAGATGGTATTTCATCTCCCCGAGGTTCAAAGTTGGAAAATGCAGAGGTATGATCCTATATGCCCTGTAATTGGAGATTTTAAGTTCCAGATTTAGTATTTTATTTCAATTGTGGGGCAACACATACAGTGCGGTTTTCTGAATCATTCAATAAGTTGCTACCTCGACCATTGAAAAGTAAAAACCATATATGTCAAATTTTCAGCTTGTTTTTCTTATGGTGAAATTATGAAGCTTTCAGAACCTTAAGCTTGGAGTCTAAATATTCACGTCTTATTTACCACGGAATACATAGAGATCTCTGTGTTTTAATGGTGAACATTGGATAAATATCATTCCCCCCCTTTTCTTAATGGTATATTTTCAAATGTAGATGAATCTAGATAGAAACCAAGGAGATCTCAAGCTTTCAGGTAGAGAACCAAGAGTTGGCAGCTACTCAGCCCCAATTTTCGCAGAGAAGAAGTTTGATCCAGCTGAGAAAGCTAGACAACTGCAACAATTTCCTACACGTAAATCTAACACATATGTGCTTCCCACTCCTACTGATGCAAAGGGTTTTATGACAGCGAGAAATAGCAGTTCAGTTCACAAAAAGCCAAGTGGACACACCCATAACTTGTGGCATTCTTCCCCGTTGGAAGAAAAGAAGCATGAAAAAGATGATGGTGATGGACATAATACCTTAAAAGCACAATCGGTACTCAAGGACAGCAATACTAAAAACTCCATCCAACTACCTCCGCCTCTTGCTGAGGGACTTGCATTACCACAGCTTGATGTAAATGCATCTGATACTAAAAAGATCAAAAGACAAGCTTCCTCTGGTCCGTTGACTACCAAGCCATCATCAACAAAACCCGTCTCATCTACCAGCGGTCCCATTGCGTCTACTGAAGTTCCACAGCTGATGTCCGGAATGGCATCGCGTTCACAAATGCTTCAGTCCTCATCTCCAAAAATATCTCCAAGTGCTTCGCCGCCCCTTGCTTCCTCACCCAGGATAAGTGAGCTTCACGAGCTTCCTAGGCCCCCTGGTAGTTTAGTTGCTAAGGCATCAAGATCTCCTGGTTTAGTTGGTCATTCTGCTCCGTTGGTCTTAAGAAATCAAGAGCCTAATGCTACAAATAGGATCAATACAGCATCTCCTCTTCCAACTCCACCATTGTTTGTTCCTCGGAGCTTCTCCATTCCTTCAAGCAGTCAGAGAGAAATGGCATTGCATGTAGCCAAACATTTCGAGTCTCCTCAAGTTACAAACAAGGCCGAAGACGTTGTGTCACCTCCTTTAACGCCTATTTCACTCTCAAACATGAACTCAGTACCAACTGTTTCTGAAGTGACCTCTCAATCTAGTCCAATACAAGGTGAGGATACCATATTCAAAGTAATTCCTAAAGGTTCTTCAAACTAAATTTGCTGTGGTGGATTGTTTGTCACCTCCATATGCATTGCCGCCTGCACCTCTTAATGGTTCTTAAGTCTTACACTATCTTAGATAGTTACTATAATTTTACGATTCATCATCGTCAGTAGCAATTTTATGTCTTAATAATGTTCTGAAAATTTTAAAGAGTAGTAGAAGTAGAAAATGGAAATCATCTTAGAGTTAATTATGTGCTAGTCTCCCTATGTTTTGTTCCCTTCAAAAACAAAACTAGCAGCTTGGCACGGGTCATAACGCGGTCATGCTGAGTTCGAACCTTTTCAGTGGATGCAGGTGGGAGCTGATATCATGCAACATTAGTTTGAAGCTGTGATTTTTTTTTTCTTTTCTTTTTTTTGGAAGTCTGCCCAGCGGGAGATTGTTTTGGGCCTCTTTATTTTGGTGTTAGGTGGAGGTCTGTAAATATGATGTTTATATGAGATGTTTAGTTTCTTGTCTTGATCGTTGTTCATCCGCTGTTAGTGATTGATTATGATGGGAACTAAACTCTACACGATTGTCTTTACTATCTGTCGTATATATCTCCTTCGCACGAGGATTTATTTATTTATTTATTGGGTATTTTACTGAGTAATGAATGACCAATGAAAGGGGGGATTTTTCATTCTTTGGACCTCCATGATTGTTATCTGTTGTCTTGTTGCTTTATAACTAGGATATGGATCTCATTATATAGGCGAGAAACTCAAAAGAAAATGCCTTCGACTTCACTATCATTTCCAAGTGTCAGAATCTTGTTGAATTTTTTATAAGAATTTTGAACTTGGCTTCAATCTTCAGTATATACTATATTGTTCATTGGTTAGTTTAACTTGTTTTTGTTCCAAAGAAAAAAAAAACAAAAATTGGACGGAGGTTTTTTAAAGTGCCAGCCTTTCATTAGCTTTGTTTTACTTTTCTTTTAATCAAACACAGCGCTTTCATTCAATCTTAAATCTACAAATTAAGTCCACCACAACTAATGAGATTGAAATACAATCCAATAATCTATTACAGATAACAACTAATCAAACCGTATTGTATCATGAATCGGGTGATAATTAATGCACTAACTACAATCAATGAGGTGGTGCAGTGATAAGAATGTATTTCTTATTTCTCCTTTCGGGATACGTCTAAGGTTTGATATTTAAAACTCTTTTTTAAGATTTCTAACCCAATTAATGTGTTTTGTGGCGTTAAATATGTAGTGGTATGAGTAAAAATTAAATCTATATTTTAAATAGAATTGAGACAGATTCTTTTAGTTTTATTGGTGAGCTCCGAAATTTTCAAAATGTTGAAAGGATGGGAGATGTAATGAAATCAATGATCCTTTAACTTTTTTTCAGTAAAAAGGAGAAGAAAAAAAAAACAGTAGACATGCATGCAACTACACATAATAAGGGATAATTTATAATAACAGGGTGAGCATCCCCCGCGCTTTGAATGATAGACTGGCCCACTTGTGTTTCAAGAGAACCAGCCCAAATGCATCTCTTTTCCGAAAGGAATAAAACATAAAATGAAAAACAATAATAATATATATAAAAAAAAAGTAAAAACATGTCGCAGATAAGTCGTTGAAGGAGATAAGGTTGTACATGCAGCAGGTTTCTAATAATATGATAACAGTAGGAAGTAATGTAAATAATACGAGTATTCAGAGACAGACAGGCAGTTGACTAATCGTATAAACAGTAAAGCAATCCAATCACAATTCCCAAAGCCACTGGAAACTAGATTTATAACAGAAAAAAGAGCTAAGAGCTTTAGCTGAGAGAGTTTCCATGGAGATTACAACAACAGCCCTCCATTGCACTAACCACCTCCACCAAATAATCCTCACTCCTTTGTCGAGGCCCACCATTGCATCACAATTTTGTTTCCCAATGATGAGGACACGGGCATCTCTCTCCCGATTCCCAAGACCTCTTTTTCGTACGGCCTTTACTATTACATGCTTCGCCGCCGACGCCAACGCTTCTTGTGAGTTCCTTCAATTTCCCACTTCTCTGTTTCTTCTGTACTTTTCGTAATTTCGTTTCTTTCCCTCTTACGTTTCTTTGTTCTCAGTTGAGAATTTGAGTAAATAGTGAATTTATGTGAGTGAAAATATTGTGGTAGAAAAAATTTGAATTTGAATTTTTTATGAGAAAAGTATTCTAAAAAAACTTAAAATTATGATTCGAAACGGGTCGAATTATACAAACACGTTTCTGGGTTGCACGCTAACTGTTTGATTATTGGCTTTCCTAGCTTGGGCAAGCCAATGGATGTCAATATAGAATTAAAAATGGTGTTGAAACGAAGCTTATAAGTTTTTATTGAAACTCTATTACAAGTCAAAAGTTGTTTTTTTGACAAGTTATGGGATTTTTACGGGCCCTTTACTTTGAAGATCCTAATTATTTCTGTTTCATTTAAGTGATTAAGTCCTAACTAACTAACTATCCCTTAAAAATTCGGCAGCAAAGGTTGGCGTGCTTGACCGCTCTTTCGCAGTGAAGGTGACCTTTTCTTATTCCCCTTCTGCCTCTGCTTTTTATGCAAATAAATTTGGTTCTCTTTGAATGGATGTGACAATGCAAATTCTTGGGATTTTGTTTTATACCTTTTTATTTATTTATTCTTTGAGGACAAAATATGGGGCTTGATGAATTTCGCCTGTTTTTGCTTTAAAAATGGATGATTGTTTCATGTGGTTTGGAGTTTTGATTTTAAGTGCAGTTTTAATTCAGAAGAAGGCAACGGATGTATCCCCTGCACTCAAAGGAACTTCCATATTTCTTGTGGGTAAGCATCAGTTATTAAACCAAAAATCATTTATTGGTGTTCTATAAGTGTATTACACTAGCTAAAAATGATTTTTTCCCCTCTTGTTGTATGTAAAAGGGATGAACAGCTCCATAAAAACCTGTCTGGGAAAACTTTTAGCTGAAACATTGCGATATTATTACTTCGACAGGTACGTAATTCATGACCGAAAGATGAGAAAAATAATATTCTTCTCATCATATATATTACCTAATCCCGTCACATTGACTTCTTCTGCATGCAGTGATAGTTTGGTTGAGGATGCTGCCGGCGGTAAATCTGCTTTTAAATCTTTCAAAGAGACTGATGAGCAGGGCTTCCGAGAATCTGAGGTGATTTTTCTATGTATTATCAGACAACATATTATGAGAAGTATTTATATTTAGGGGTGTGAGGTGATCAGTTTGGAGGAAAAACATCGACCAAATCAGGTTTAGTTGGTTTGAAATTTTTAAGTGAAACCAAATCAAATGAAATTGTATATAATTGGTTTTTGGTCTGTTGATTTGTTTGATTTGGAGTTACAAATCGGATAAATTTTGGTAATTGAGATAATGTAGAAAACTAATTGATGAGGTAAATAAAATTGGTTTAGTTTGGTTCTGTTTGGTTTGATCGAACTTTGTGATTTGATGAGTTTTATGAATTATACTTGTATTATAAGTGAATATATTGGTGCAGACTGAAGTACTGAAGCAGTTGTCGTCTATGGGTAGATTGGTCGTTTGTGCTGGAAATGGTGCAGTTCAAAGTTCAACTAATCTGTATGAACAATATTTTTGCTCTTTCTTATTTGGCTTATCTATCCCTCTTCTTATTGAATTTCATCATGATTAATATTTGTACGTTATATCCTAACTTTCTTGACCACATGTAAAGAGCTCTTTTGAGACATGGAATTTCAATTTGGATTGATGTACCCCTAGACATGGTGGCTAGTGGAATGATGGAAGAAGACCAAACTGAACACGCACAGGTATTATTAATGTTTTTCCTTGCAACTTTTAAATCAAGATAAAAGTTTGCTCCATTTGTTTACTTGTCTATGTCTATGTTGATTTTTTAGATAGAGTATTCTGTGTTATGGTTGGATTAAAAAAAAATAAAAAATAAAAAAACCTTCACCATCAAAATCATATTAGAACCAATAACTATGCAAATTTAACAAAACTTAATAAAGATATAAGCGCCAGTTCCTACCCAAGTATACTCCTTTATAGACCATATATTTATTTTTTATACATCCTAAATATTTTATTTTTGAATTCTGATGGATGTTAAGCAGGTTGTGGCCCAGTTAGGTTCTTCGTATGAAGAATTGAGGGATGGATATGCCACAGCTGATGCAACCGTCTCACTCCAAAGTATATATCTATTATTTATATATGCTTGGAAAAATGTGTGTTTTGTTTTTTGTGTGGCTGTAATTGATTTTCCTTATCATTTATCAGACGTAGCATGTCAATTGGGTTATGATGACCTAAATGCTGTAACCCCTGAGGATATGACTTTGGAGGTAAGGAAGGAGAAACACTTTCTTGTAAAAGTTGAAGAAGACATGTTTAACGCCAAAGAAGATGACAGATTATCTGTTTCCTCTTTTTTGAAAAATTTTCAGGTTCTCAAAGAGATTGAGAGACTTACAAGAGTCAAAAAGATGATGGAAGAGGCAGCAACACCTTTTTGACATACCACAAACCGGCTGTGTTCATAGCGATCGGGTCATATCATTATTTTTGGGGTAATAGTGATACCAACATGAGTTTTGGCCTGCAAGTATCCTCATTTCTACATACATTATCTTCGCGTGAGTGGATTTGAAGCTTAATTCGACTAATATCTTGTTGTTACCAAGGCCAACCATTTCTTTGTTAAAATCGAGTTTTCTTATGTTTTCTTTTTCTTTTTTTTTTCTTTCTATATATATAATCTTTTATTTACTTCGGATACCAAAATTATGTAAATGTAGAATTCAACTTTTTCTTTTATTACATTACATTACCACTGGTAATAAATAGTAAGAGCTGGTATCACTGGCGTGGATCACTTGAGAGCATGCTTGGGTCCTGTGTAGTCACGTGATTACTCGCCTTGTCACGTGCCTTAACTTCAAAGTTCAAATCATAATGTATTATTTATTTACTTTAATTTAGAAGACTCCGGAAAGAATACTTAGACCTGTCTTTTAGGACCAAAACTCTCTACAATTAGGCTGTGTGCAATTAAGAGTGTGCGCTTGAGACTTTTGAAAGTTGAACTGGGCCGACACAAGACAAGAGAGAGGCCCATATGGGGACTGCGTACGTTCACCTTGGGAAACTCTGAGAAGTGCATAGAAAGCAGCAAAAAAGATCAACTTCAAAAGCGGCACGGCATTCATGTCCTTTCTTTTTCTACCTTCTTCCTCTGATTTCCGAGAAAGATAAATCGAAGAAATTGACCACTTCGCATATTGATATTAGCGGCAGAAACTATGAAATTTAAAGGCAATATTATATTGTATATTATGCGAGTAATTATCAGCGTATCACCAATCACAAATTTACGTGTTAATTCTGAGAATTACTGATTATCATGCGTAGTCTTGTATAATCTTAGATCTTATTCGTACATTTGAGTTTTTAATTTAAGTTAAGATATGATATTTTTTCAGAGTTTTTAATTATAGCAGAAAAAATTAAATATAATATTTTATGAGAATTTTTAAGTGTAAAAATTTAAAATTTAAAATTTAAATCGGTAAAAAGAACGAGTCTTCATATTTTAATGGTGGTGATAATTAAAATATCTTTTGTGGTCGTAAAATTAAGTAGGTTTCGTTCATTTTACCGATTAAGTTTTTAGTTTTAGATTTTTACAGTTAAAAATTTTTAAAAAATGTCACATTTAATTTTTTTTATTATAATTAAAAATTTTTAAAAAATGTCACATATTAACTCGAATTGAAAATTTAAATCTACAAAATGAACAAATTAGCAGTAGTCTCATTGGGCCCGTTTGGTAGCATTTCCATTTTCGTTTCTCACATTTTTCGATGCAAAAAATTGAAAACGGAGATAAAAAACGTGTTTGGCAAAATTTGTGTCAGAAAACAAAAACGAAAATGGCTTTGTCGTTTTCCGGAATTTTGAAAACGGAAAAAAGCCGTTTTCGTTTTCTTGTTTTCATTTTCGGTTTCTTCTTCTTCTTTCTTCCTCGATCATCCTCCCGTTTCTGCTTCTTCCGATTTTTTCTTCCCCTTCAGCCGAGCTCTTCTTCCTCCTTCCCTTCCGTTCTTCAGCCGAGATCTTCTTCCCGGCCGAGCCCCGGCGTTCTTCTCGCCCAAGAGTCGCGCCGTTTGCTTCTCACCGGAGCACCTCCGTTTGCCTGAGCTCCTCCAGTCTCTTGTTGCCCAATCTGCGCCGTTCTCTGTTTTCTCACCGAGGTATGCGCCTAGCCAAAAATATTTGAACGTGTTTGATTTTTCCGATCGATTTGGTCGAGCAATTTGTTTTTTTATTTCTTTTATTTTTATTTTCCGGTTGTCTCGCCGTTTGATTTGCTTATTCAACCAAATCGATTGATGTTTTCCATTTGATTTGGTGTTTGTTTTCTATCCTATGCTTGATCTGATCTGGTTTTTTTCCGTTTTTTTTCTTTTTCCCCTGGAGGCCCCCGTTGGGGTTGATACAGCCCCTGGGGGCCTCCCATTGGGGCTGTATCAGCCCCTGGGGGCCTCCCTTTGGGGCTGGCCTCGGAGGCCCCCAGTGGGGGCTGAATTTCAGCCCCCAGTGGGGGCTGAATTTCAGCCCCCATCAGCCCCAATAGGGGCTGAATCAACCCCTAGGGGCCCCCCTTTGGGGTTGGCCTCGGAGGCCCCCAGTGGGGGCTAAATTTCAGCCCCCATCAGCCCCAATAGGGGCTGATTATCAGCCCCCGTTGGGGCTAAATCAACCCCTGGGGGCCTACCTTTGGGGCTGGCCTGGGAGGCCCCCAATGGGGGCTGAAAATCAGCCTCCATCAGCCCCAATGGGGGCTGATTATCAGCCCCCATCAGCCCCAATGGGGGCTGATTGTCAGCCCTGATGGGGCCTGATTATAAGCCCTAGCCCCCATCCGCCCCAATGGGGGCTGATTATCAGCCAATCAACGCCTCGGGGCCTCCCTTTGGGGCTGGCCTGGGAGGCCCCCAATAGGGGTTGAAAATCAGCCCTGATGGGGGCTGATTGTCAGCCCTAATGGGGGCTGATTTTCAGCCCCCATCAGCCCTGATGGGGGCTGATTATCAGCCCCCATCCACCCCAATGGGGGCTGATTATCAGCCCCCTATTGGGGCTGAATCAACCCCTGGGGGCCTCCCTTTGGGGCTGGCCAGGGAGGCCCCCAATGGGGGCTGAAAATCAGCCCCCATCAGCCCCAATGGGGGCTGATTATCAGCCCTGATGGGGGCTGATTGTCAGCCTTGATGGGGGCTAAAAATCAGCCCCCATCCGCCCCAATGGGGGCTGACAATCAGCCCCCATTGGGGCTGAATCAACCCCTGGGGGCCTCCCTTTGGGGCTGGCCTGGGAGGCCCCCAATGGGGGCTGAAAATCAGCCCCCATAATCCCCATGGGGGCTGATTGTCAGCCCTGATGGGGGCTGATTATCAGCCCCTTATTGGGGCTGAATCAACCCCTGGGGGCCTCCCTTTGGGGCTGGCCAGGGAGGCCCCCAATGGGGGCTGAAAATCTGCCCCCCACCCCCCCATCAGCCCCAATGGGGGCTAATTATCAGCCCTGATGGGGGCTGATTTTCAGCCGCCATCCACCCCAATGGGGGCTGATTATCAGCCCTGATGGGGGCTGATTATCAGCCCTGATGGGGGCTGATTATCAGCCCTGATGGGGGCTGATTATCAGCCCTGATGGGGGCTGATTATCAGCCCTGATGGGGGCTGATTATCAGCCCTGATGGGGGCTGATTATCAGCCCTGATGGGGGCTGATTATCAGCCCTGATGGGGGCTGATTATCAGCCCTGATGGGGGCTGATTATCAGCCCTGATGGGGGCTGATTATCAGCCCTGATGGGGGCTGATTATCAGCCCTGATGGGGGCTGATTATCAGCCCTGATGGGGGCTGATTATCAGCCCTGATGGGGGCTGATTATCAGCCCTGATGGGGGCTGATTATCAGCCCTGATGGGGGCTGATTATCAGCCCTGATGGGGGCTGATTATCAGCCCTGATGGGGGCTGATTATCAGCCCTGATGGGGGCTGATTATCAGCCCTGATGGGGGCTGATTATCAGCCCTGATGGGGGCTGATTATCAGCCCTGATGGGGGCTGATTATCAGCCCTGATGGGGGCTGATTATCAGCCCTGATGGGGGCTGATTATCAGCCCTGATGGGGGCTGATTATCAGCCCTGATGGGGGCTGATTATCAGCCCTGATGGGGGCTGATTATCAGCCCTGATGGGGGCTGATTATCAGCCCTGATGGGGGCTGATTATCAGCCCTGATGGGGGCTGATTATCAGCCCTGATGGGGGCTGATTATCAGCCCTGATGGGGGCTGATTATCAGCCCTGATGGGGGCTGATTATCAGCCCTGATGGGGGCTGATTATCAGCCCTGATGGGGGCTGATTATCAGCCCTGATGGGGGCTGATTATCAGCCCTGATGGGGGCTGATTATCAGCCCTGATGGGGGCTGATTATCAGCCCTGATGGGGGCTGATTATCAGCCCTGATGGGGGCTGATTATCAGCCCTGATGGGGGCTGATTATCAGCCCTGATGGGGGCTGATTATCAGCCCTGATGGGGGCTGATTATCAGCCCTGATGGGGGCTGATTATCAGCCCTGATGGGGGCTGATTATCAGCCCTGATGGGGGCTGATTATCAGCCCTGATGGGGGCTGATTATCAGCCCTGATGGGGGCTGATTATCAGCCCTGATGGGGGCTGATTATCAGCCCTGATGGGGGCTGATTATCAGCCCTGATGGGGGCTGATTATCAGCCCTGATGGGGGCTGATTATCAGCCCTGATGGGGGCTGATTATCAGCCCTGATGGGGGCTGATTATCAGCCCTGATGGGGGCTGATTATCAGCCCTGATGGGGGCTGATTATCAGCCCTGATGGGGGCTGATTATCAGCCCTGATGGGGGCTGATTATCAGCCCTGATGGGGGCTGATTATCAGCCCTGATGGGGGCTGATTATCAGCCCTGATGGGGGCTGATTATCAGCCCTGATGGGGGCTGATTATCAGCCCTGATGGGGGCTGATTATCAGCCCTGATGGGGGCTGATTATCAGCCCTGATGGGGGCTGATTATCAGCCCTGATGGGGGCTGATTGTCAGCCCTGATAGGGGCTGAAAATCAGCCCCCATCAGCCCCAATGGGGGCTAATTATCAGCCCTGATGGGGGCTGATTTTCAGCCGCCATCCACACCAATGGGGGCTGATTATCAGCCCCCATTGGGGCTGATTGTCAACTCTGATGGGGGTTGAAAATCAGCCCCTATCAGCCCCCATGGGGGCTGATTGTCAGCCCTGATAGGGGCTGAAAATCAGCCCCCATCCGCCCCAATGGGGGCTGATTGTTAGCCCCCATTGGGGCTGAATCAACCTATGGGGGCCTCCCTTTGGGGCTAGCCTGGGAGGCCCCCAATGGGGGCTGAAAATCAGCCCCCATCATCCCCAATAGGGGCTGATTATCAGCCCTGATGGGGGCTGATTATCAGCCCCTATCATCCCTGATGGGGGCTGATTGTCAGCCTTGATGGGGGCTGATTTTCAGCCCCCATCAGCCCTGATGGGGGCTGATTATCAGCCCCCATCCGCCCCAATGGGGGCTGATTATCAACCCCCATTGGGGCTGAATCAACCCCTGGGGGCCTCCCTTTGGGGCTGGCCTGGGAGGCCCCCAATGGGGGCTGAAAATCAGCCCCCATGGGGGCTGATTGTCAGCCCTGATGGGGGCTGATTTTCAGCCCCCATGAGGGCTGATTATCAGCCCTAGGGCTAATAATCAGCCCCCATCACCCCCAATGGTCTGTGTGTGTATATATACTTTACAAATTGACATTTATTTTAATGATGAAAATGTTGTTTTAGATGTGTGATAAGGACGATAATACGAAATGGCCGGCCACAATTGAGGATTTTTATGTAGAACTGATATACGAAGAGTCAAAGACTGGGATTCAAACATCCACTCTGGACAGAAAAACGTGGATGAAAATTGCTAATGAAATAGCAATTAAGTTTGGTAAGCATTTCACAGCAGACCAGCTTAAAGCAAAGTGGAATAGGCTTAGACGTAGCACGAGAGAGTTTAAGGCATTAATTGAAACAACAGGATTTGGTTGAGATTCTGAGACTAACACTGTCACAGCTGAAAAAGAAGTATGAGATTCATATGTGGCGGTAAGTTTTGATGTTCTTAACATCTTATGTTATATGAAAGAGTTGAATTGGTGTTTGGATTGCACATGAGTATTTACTCTTGTTTTCTTTATAATGTC